AAGGATAGAGGGGAGAGAAACAGATAGAAAATACAGGATAGCCTCTAGAGGGCCTGGATCCTAATCCATCGGGCTCTGACTGTCTCTGCCCCAGGGTATTTATAGGAATGCCAAGGGGTGGAGCAAAAGACCTCCCTTCAACACAGCCAAGTGCAGACCATCTCAGACACCTGGTACTCAGGCCTATGGTCTGTAACAAGAATCTTAAAAGGTCTTATTAATAGAAAAACCTGGAGCCAGGTATTGGGGTGAATGCTGAAAGATCAGAGAAACAGAACAAGCCACATCCAACCTCACCTTGCCAACTTCTCAGCTGATCTTGTCTCCTCAAACTGAAAGCCTCTGAATCCTTATCCTAATGGATCTCAGCTGAACTGCTGCTAAAAGCTAAAAGCTTAAAAGCCTCTAGTTCCTGTTCCTCATGCCTTATATACCTTTCTTCACCCTGCCTTAGCTTCCTGGGATTAAAGGTGTGTGTCTTTTCCAAGCAAGACATGAGATCTCAAGTGCTGGGATTAAGGGCGTGTGTGCCATTATTTTCTGGCCTCTATGTCTATCTAGTGGCTGTTCTATTCTCTGACCCCAGATAAGTTTATTAGGGTACATAATATATTGAAGGACATAATATCACCACAGTGGTTCAATCATCCTCTTTATGCAGACCTGCTGGGTAAAGCCTAAATGTGCTCCAACAGATGTATGGGTAGCTGTTGTATGGATGAGTGTTTGGATGTACGAATAAGTGGATAGATGGTGTATGGATCAATGTTTAGACAGCTGAATGGACATGCAGACAGAGCACCTCCCCTTTCCTACTGCCCTCCTCTTCCACAGCTGCATACTCTGTAATTCCTTTTCTATGGTTGGTGTTTACAGAGGGTAGGTTGCACTCGTTTTGAATGTCTTCTCAGGATCCAGCCCCCTTGGTCCTTCCCATCTCTTCAGTGAACTCTATTTGCCTGTACCAAGCTCCTGATTAGTTTTGTCCCAGAAGCACAGACTTTACTTAGCTCTCTCTTCTTTTGACAAACTTCCCTGAACTCATGTTCTTACTGGGTGGACTGTTTTCCCTCTCCTCCCCATTGTAGGCAAGTTCTTGACCTTACCCTCCCTAACTCCAAGGGCAAATCCTTGCTTACTCTTTTTTTTTTTAAAGATTTATTTATTTTATGTATATGAGTGCTCTATCTGCATGTACAACTTTATGCCAGAAGAGGGCATCAGATCTCATTACAGATGGTTGTGAGCCACCATGTGGTTGTTGGGAATTGAACTCAGGACCTTTGGAAGAGCAGCCAGTGCTCTTAACCGCCGAGCTACCTCTCCAGCCCCCTTGCCCATTCTTAAACCAATCCTCAGGCTTCACTGCCCCCAACCCCTGAAATCAGCTCTCACCGAGGTGAGCTGCATGAGACTTGGTCATGCTCGCTTGCCCACCACATTTAAGCTACTGGCCCCTCCTTCTCCCTCCCCTTGATCTCTAACAGCCTGCTCTCCTGGTCCCCCTCCTGGACACCCTCGTCTTCTCCTTCCCTAAGCCCTCCTCTTGCAGCCAACCCTCACCTGCTCTACTGCTTTATTCTTGGGTTCTCTTAAAAATTATTTATGTGTGTGTGTGTGTGTGTGTGTGTGTGTGTGTGTGTGTGTGTGTGTGTGGTGTTTGTTTGTGTGTATGTGCATATGTGCATATGTGTGCCCAATGAGGCCAGAAAAAGGCACTGGATTCCCCTGAAGCTACAGTTACAGGCACCATGTGGGTGCTGAGAACCAAACGCTGGTCCTCTGGAAGAGCAGCAAATACTCTTAACCAGTGAGCCGTCTTTGTAGCCGACTCTTGGCTTTTTTTTTTTTAATGTCACTAATTTCCCATACCACAGGTAATGAGCACCAATCAGCTGTTGTCCTTAGATTTCTTTTAAAAATCTCTCTCTCTCTCTCTCTCTCTCTCTCTCTCTCTCTCTCTCTCTCTCTCTCTTTCTCTCTCTCTCTCTCTGCAACTACCCTAAAAAACCAACTTCCCATGAACATATAGTTCTCATAAATGTATACCTCAACCATCATGGCCAAAGTGAATCCTGAATTCATTCTCATATTTGTCTCTCTTATCTGAATCCCTTGCACAGGTGTGTATGTATGTTATTTGTGCCGCATATCATTTTTTAGTTATTTCTCTGTCACTGTGTTTAAACACCATGACCAAAAGCAACCTACAGACAGAAGGGTTTATTTGGGCTTATCATTCCAGAGCACAGGAGTCCATCACGGCAGGCAGGCTTGGCTTCCAGCAGGCATGGTGGCCGAATCAGGAAGCTTACAGCTCACTTCCTCAACCTCAACCCCGAGAGAGAGAGAATAATTAAGAGTGACTCAAGGCTTTCATCTCAAAGCCCACCCCATGACATACTCCCTGCAGCAAACCCTCACCTCCTAAACTTCCCCCAACAGTGCCCCCTACCAGGGACATGTGCTCAAGTACTGCAGCCTGTGGGAAACACTTCCCATTCAAATCACCGCATACGTGTATTAGGATGCTTGGCTCCAGCTCTGGCTGAGGCATTGAATCACTGCTTGTTTTATAAGCTATCCCATTTGCATGTCAGCAAACCCGAACCACAGTGTGTAGGATAGCCCAGTCAACACGGGACACAGGGCATACAAGTGAAGATGTTCTACTTTGCGTATAGCCAATGGCATGGCTGTGAGCATCGGTAGCCCCAAGGGAACCAATCCTAGATTCACTGGAAACTGCCTTTCTGTTTTCCACCACGCTGAAGCAGCATGAAGCCCCCCTTGATGCAGCCAGCTGATCTTGGACTTCCAAGCCTCTAGACCATGAATGTCCTTAGCTCTGAGAATTTTGTTCCCAGCATGGGGCCTGGTTCTGTGTCTCTTTTCTAGTGCTGGGCAAGAGCCTCAGGATGCTTTGAGAGAGTCCTACACCAGTTGCAGTCCAGGTCCATCCCTCTGGCTGGGGTCATTCTCAGGCTTTCCGGTGCTCTCTAAGGGCAAAGTCCTGGAGCTAGCTGCTCCCATCCAGAAGGAATGTGCGTGTGTGGCACATTAGTAGGAAGCTCTGTCCAGATGACTGATTCCATGTGGCTTATTGTTTTATATTGAATTATTCTGTGATAAATACAAATCATCTGTGAAAACCATTTCTTGGCTTAATTTTTCACATCAAAGCCAGTGTGGGGTGAGGTGTGCCACCCAGGAAAGCTTGTAGGTGCCTTCTTCCCCTGCTGTGATTGGAGGACCATATTCCCCAAAACTCACGGCTGGAGTCTTAATTCCCAGTGAACCAGTACTGAGATAAGTAAGGCAGGGTCTTTTAGAGGCCATCAGGTTCCTGAGAGATTAATGCCTAGCTCTGGGGACCAGGGCTAATAATCTCAGGAGTGGGTGATTTTTTGCTGTCTGGGAACTGAATTGGTTATCTCTAGAACGGGTGTTAGGACACAAGGCTGCCGGCCTCGGGCGGTTTGTGTTCTCTGCACACACCTGCTTGCTTTGCTTCCTCCATCACATGAAGTCCTTTAAGCCTCCCCCTGCACGCCCCCCCCAGTAGATAACTGGACTTGAAGCCCTTCCCCCCATGTAGATAACTGGCCTTGAACACCCCCCACCACATGTAGAGAAATGGCTTGGAAGCCCCCCCCCCACCATGTAGAGAACTGGCCTTAAAGCCCCCCAACCCTACCCCATGTAGATAATTGGCCTTGGACTTTCCAGACTTTGGAACCAGAGCCAAAGTAAATCTGCCTTAGCTTGAATTCTGTTGTTGATAACACAAGACCACAGGCTGGGTAAGTTGTAAACGAGGTTTATTTTGGCTCAGAACCCCTGGTCTGATGTCAACTGGCCACATCTGGCAGGGGCCTTCCTGCTGGCAGAGTCCCAAGGCCTCACACAGCGTCACATGGGTTCTCTCCTAGAGAGCCACCAGGTTCAATTGTGACGCACCCTCCTCTGGTGTCCTCAGATAATCTTACTTACCTCTCCAGGCCCACTCTCATCCACCAGAGTCAGGCAGAAACCTCGATCTTAAAATCTCATGATGGAGATGAGATTTCAGGAAGAGTTTTCAGAGGGGAGAGGTCATATGCAAATCATAACAACCTCTTTTCTTTATAAAGTACCCAGTCTCAAGTATTCTGTTGGAGTAGCAGAAAACAATGCAAGACACCTAGTTCCTCCTCTCTTCTCACCTGGCTAGGACACCTAACCTAGTCAGCGCTCTTCCCAGCGTTCCAGCTCAAGCTTGGGTGCCTTCTGTTCCCATAGTCTACACCCCATAACCACCCATCACCATGCTGCTGACGCCTCAATGATACTTTGATGTCTTGAAAGCTCTCTGTGTGAAGTCTGGTCCAGCCACAAAGCAACTGCTTTTCACAAGCAGGCAAGTTACCTTTTCTGTGCCTCAGTTTCTTCGTCTGTGAGGTGACACTGAAACTTGTCACACTAACAATTGTTAATAACGTTCCCCTATTTCCCCAGGACTGTCTTGACGTGGGTGTAAGCTAAGTGGCCAGACCAGCGTGTATGGATGTTATGGTACCTCCCCCAAGGTTCCCTGCAACCCCAGACAATCCCTTTTATCTTGCTCATTAACATAATTAAAGGCCATCAGCCCCGCTTCACGTCAGAACTACATCTGTTGATCATAACTGCATGTCGACTATGGTCCTAGGCATCCTGGGCAGTGTCCCTCCTCTGCCACTCTCTTTGTCCCACCCCCTTCCAGAGGAAGTCACAGCTGGTGACTAACTAATTAGGGATGTAAAATCTCAACACTTTTTTCTCAATTTGGAACACCTCTGAAGATGAGTCCTAGCTCCAGAGGGGGATTATGAGAAGTCTCAGGGGTTCTATATTGGGGGGCAGATTTCCACCCCACCCCCACCACCCCAATCCTACCTCCCTTCCTTACTCGAGCGTCACCTCCCAAGAATTGCCCAGCATCCCTTCTGAATCCCATCTGCCTCTTGATCTGTTTCCAGGGGATCGGAGGCTGGGAGTGTAACAGTTGTGGTGGTCAGGACTTCTCAGCAGGAATGTAAGTAACCTGAAGGCGCGGCTTCAAGGATTACCCATGATGAACCTGGGTTTGCATGTGATTTGCTGTGCTGGCTTTGGAGAATGGAACACACTTTGCTCATCCAAGCCCTGGGGATGGATCTGGACTGACCTGAAGTCTGAGGTGACTATTAAACTGGTAAGTTGGCAAGGAGACAAATTGGAGGCAAGGAGACAGGTTAGGGGTCATCTCTACCTCCTGCACTATGGGAAAGTGGTACCCAGTTTGGACAGGGGGTCCCATCGAGTGAGCACAGATGACCGGTGTCTATGAATGAGCGTGTGTAAGGCGCTGCTGACTGCTCCACCAGAAGACCCAGCTGAAGAGAACTGAGCCCCGAGGGTGTTGTCATCTCAAGGGACACACTGCATAGCTTCACCCATTCCACTTACAAACTCAACGTCCTTCCATTTTCACTTGAAATTGGAAGTGGGATGCATCTTACTGAGCATGTGCTTAGGATGCACAAGACTCACAGTTCACTTTCCAGCATGGCCCAGATATTAGAAACAAAATTTGGATATGTTCAATCAAATTCAGGGCAATGACTTAACATTTTGCTCCTCCCTTCCTCCCCATTTATTAAATAGTTAAGTACAGACTCCAGTGGAGAAAGAACATCGATAACTTTTCTATATTAGTACCTTCAATGCCATCTTTCCCCTGGGTTGTTTTGAATTTTGTTCTGAGTCAGAGCCCCACATTTTCACCCCACAAATCAGACAGCAGCTCAAGGATGGATCTGGCTGCAGAGGACCTTCCAGGCTTCCTCTGGGCTCCACGGGGCTAACTGGGAGCCGGGAAGCTAGGTTAAAGGAGATAGATCTAGTGCAGACACAAGACCTCCTTTGAGGAGCCAAAGTGGGCTAAATGTGTGTCTAGGACCTTAAGCAATGTGGTTTGGATTCTAGAAGGTTCCAAGCACTGATCAGAAGATGTCTACAGGAGAAAGAGACAGTAGAAGGGGCTCTTTTGATTGCTAATTGATTAGGAGGGCCAAGGTCATAAATAATCTCAAACATACTATTTACAGCTAATAATTCCAAATATTTCATTACAAGAAGAGAGGCCCCTTCCCAGAAAATCCCCTAGGAGATTATCCCAGCACTCAAAACTTCCCAGGGAGAAAATACGACTCACTGTGTGACCCCTCCACCCACCCCCACACCAGGAAGCTGCTCCACAGGGACTAATATTCCTGAAGCAGATCACAGGCAGATCATCAGATTATAAATAAAACCTGCCAGGGCCCCTTGTCCATGTCAGATTTTATGGGGAACCACGCTTGGGGCAGGGCAATCTGTCCTGCTCCATGTGGTACATCTCTGGGAATTCCAGTTTTGGGCATGGCTGTTGCAGAGAAAGTGATTGTGGACCTGGATGTGTGTCTCGCAGCACCACACTGACTTGAGAAAAGCAAGTCCCCGGCGATGTGTGAACTTGGGGTATCTTAAATGTTATAATCTATAAGGGGGAAGCGGTGACCATACAATGGCCTGGACCTGAGGGATGCACTGGATCAGTGTCTATGTGATACCCACCACCACCCTCCTTTGAAAGAGGAAACTGAGGATCGTGCATGTCAGGTACCACAGTCAGGAGGCCTGCATGGAAACCCAGGATCTGCATTCAAACACCAAGCTTTCAGTGTAACCTGGAAGTCTGTACTTAGCACCCAGAGAAGTCCTCTAGGCATATCTCAGCAGCGTGATGCCCTGGTCTGAGATGCTTCCATTTATATGGTGGTATGTACTTAAGACCCCAAGTCTGCCTAAACCCTCAGTTTTGGTCTGCTGCCCCACCGTCTCCCTAGTACCCGACATTAGTCTCACCCACAGTGACTGATATCTGTCACAACAGGGCCTCAGGAATATTCTGCTTGTCCACTTGTCACCTGGGAAATGGGAACCTCAACTGAAGAATTGCCTGGATCAGATTGGCCTATGGCTGTGTCTGTGAGACATTTCTTAATTGCTAATTGATTAGGAGGGTCAAGGCCACAGTGGGTGGTACCATCCCTAGGCAGGTAGGCCTGGACTGCAAGAGAAATCTAGCTGAACAAGCCAGTCCTCCATGGTCTCTGCTTTGGTTCCTGCCTCCAGATTCCTGTCTTCGCTTCCTTCAGCGATGGACTGTCACTTAGAACTGTAAGATAAACACTCTTCCCCTGAGATTGCTTTTGGTCAGTGTTTTATCACAGAAACAGGGAAGGTACTAGAACAGGAGCCATCTCCAGTACCTGGGGTTGGAGGCTGTGTTCTATAACTGCCCGGCCTATCTTGCCAGGCACACTAAGAAACCAATTACCCTTGATAATCCTCATCTGCCCAGTAGAGTATGTTCTCGTCTCTGAATATTCTCCAGCCTATCCAATTGAGAGACGTCGGGAAGCCCTGAGCACCAGCATGGCCACAGTGTCCATGCCTGAGTGCCACAGTTACCTGGTACGCTTATTCACACACCTCACCTGAGGTCTACAATAACATCAGGCTCTCCCCACAGGCAGATGGAGGGCGCCCAAGCTCTGCAGCTCAGACTGGGTAAGTGTGAGACCCACTCCGTTTACTTCCGAGAGACAGACTCATTCAAATTTACAGATGCAACATTCTATATCTCTAGTTACAGACAATAGCTCCTAGCTGCAGCCGCTTCCAGACCTCTGCGGCCACTTCCTCCCTTTGTCAATGTACATGTGAACGTTTCCAGGCTCCTCATTTCTCACGTCCACACCTGGCCCACACCCTGCACCGGTCTGGCTGGGCAATCACCACCCAAGTGGTCACTGCCATGAGTGAGCATGGTCCAACTGTTTCACCCACGCCCTGTTGAGATCCCAGAAACAATAAAGCTTCCTTGGTGGCGGTCAGCCTCATGTGTCCGACACCTGTCACAACTCCAAGTTGACTCGTTTTGGCAACAACAGCCTGATAAAGTTCCTAAACGTGGTAGAGGAAGGGGTTGTATCCGCTTGCTGAGTCTTGGGATTATGGTACAGGAACTGGTTGCTTGGCTGTGAGCCTGTGTAGAGAAAACTTCTCCCTTCCACCCCCCCTCAAAACTGCCATGGCCACCACATGGCATGTCCTGCTGAGTCCAGAGAAGAACCTGAATCCCCATCAGTTCTTAGGGAATGGCCTGCATGGGCATGTTTATGCTCTTTGTTTTCTGAAGAATGAGCCACTGTGGATGTGGACATTCTCAGCCCCCCACACTGCTAAAGGACATAGATTTCTGGTCTGTTTAGAAATTAGGTCACACTTGGAATCACCTCAGAAGTATTCACTGCTTGTGGACTTCCTGTTTCATCAAGCTCTCATCTTCCCAGGCTGTAAAATTGTAGGGGAAAGAGTGAATTACACATCGTAAAAATGTTGGAAGTGCCTGAAGATTAGAAATGAGGTTCTGTTGCCGGGCGTTGGTGGCGCACGCCTTTAATCCCAGCACTCAGGAGGCAGAGCCAGGCGGATCTCTGTGAGTTCGAGGCCAGCCTGGGCTACCA